CTCTAATACTTTGGCCATATGTTGAGAAGAGATTCCCTGGAAAAGACCCTAATGTTGGGTAAGTGTGAAGGCAAGAGGAGAAGGGGATGACAGAGGATGAGATGGTTGGATAGTGTCATCAAAGCAACCACCATGAATTTGACCCAACTCTGGGAGGCAGTACAAGACAGGAGAGTCTGGCATGCTCTGATCCATGGGGTCACGAAGAGTCAGACATGACTTAACGACTAAACAACAGCAATAGGAGCCTTAACATAGAGGACTTGTGAAATTTATATTTAGATGGTGTTTGGAGAGTTCCATTCACTGACATTGCCTGTGCAGCTGGATTTGAACTGGGTGATGACACATAATCGGGTTCTGGTTTTGAAATAAACTGTAATCAGGCTTTTTAGGCATTTTTCCTTCAATAAGGCAGTCTTTGTATTTTAATTCAAAATTGCCAGTATTCATATTTGCTAAGTTGTGGGTAGGTTTCATAGCTGTTTTGAACCTGGTCTTTGGATAAATTATATGCATTCCCTATTTGAATTATATTGCTCTACTTTTAATATAACAGGTTCCAGAAGTTATGGGCATGCTTACCAGCTGCAAAAGTCCAAAGCATCTTGCCTGTCTACATTTCAGGCTTTGTAGGATAAACACAGGAGCATTTTATATCTATTAAGGAGTCCCAGTCATCTCCAGTATATCTGAAATATCCTGTGAACCTTCTAAATTAGATACTGATACACTATTTGGCCTTAGTGGCTAGTTGAAAATAGTAATATGGCACTCAGCTGATGATTGCACTAACACATCCATATCAAGACCTGTCTTCCCTGAGGTTTCTGGTTGGGACTGTTCATTAGAGTCTATTCTGCACATTGCCACCACAGGTGAGGACTGAAAGTTGATTTCTTATTTACTGAAAATATTTTTACCCTGCCATTCATCTATAAATATTAAGCCTGTATTGGAAAAGGTTAGACTGAAGACCTCAGTAGAACTTCTTAAATCACATATTCCACCCAGGGACCCTGAAGTCTTGGAATTAGTTGTCCACTTATGCATTATGCTGGTCCTTTAAGGCTGAGCAAAAATCTTCCTCTAATGTTTCTGATGTATCCATCACATTTCCAGCCTGGTAGTCTCCCTGGTCTGTACTGATGGGGTTTGGTGGAGGTGCTGCTTTTAAAATCCCCAGCTCTATCAGAGCAGCAATAGATTGCAATGTTGCTTTCATGTCAGAGATTTCTTGTTTTAAAGAGTGCAGCTTATCAAAGGTGTTTTGGCTTGCTTGTCCTGAGAGGAAACACTGATTGTGTAATGTATTTGCGAAGGCTTTCACGGCCGGGATCTAATGGTTGTTGTGGGTTTTTCGGGCTCTTTGGCCGTGTTCTGAAGGTTGTTCTTCCTAACGTTTCACCAGTCTCTGTGGCCGGCATCTTCAGAGGACAGCCCGAAAAACCCAAAACAACCACTGATTGTGTAGTTGGGTCTAAATATTTCTGGCATGTGCACTATGCAATCCATGGGCTCCTTCTGACAGTTCCTCTTCAAGTTTGCTGTTGGATCCAGGGGTTGCGGAATATGAAGGTTTATGGGGTGGATCCATTAATACAATTGAAGCCCTTTCTAGAAATCCAGTGACCAGTTGGCAAATGTATTTCCAGCTTGGAGGTCCCCTACGGCAGCACTTAGGTGATTCCCTCCATTGTTAATGCCTGAGCTATCCAAAATAGTTGGAGTACTTGAGGCAATTGTCCCAGCTTGCCTTTGTACAGGGGAAATGGAATAAACATGCTGTACGGTAGGATCTAGGGGAACAGAAAACTCTGCAATTGATTTTTGGGATGGGACCCTCGGAAAATTTTTTGCCCAAGCATGGGATTTCTGGGACCTAGAAGAAATAGAAAACATTTCCCTCATTTGACCAGGGCCTTAATTAAGGTTAAGGAGACAGGGATAAGCAGTGAGGTGGCCAAGTTTGCAGATGACATGAAACTTTTTTGGGTGGTGAAGACCAAAAGGGATTGTGAAGAGCTCCAGAAGGATTTCTCCAAACTGGGAGAATGGGAGGCAAGATGGCAAATGTGTTTCGATATAAGAACATGTAAAGTAATGCACATTGGGGCAAAAAATCAAAACTTTAGTTATCAGCTAATGGGTTCTGAGCTGTCCGTGACAGATCAGGAAAGAGATCTTGGTGTGCTGGTGGACAGCTCGATGAAAGTGTCAACCCAGTGTGCGGCGGCACACTGAAGAAGGCCAATTCCATGCTAGGTATCATTAAAAGGGGGGTTGAAAATAAAACATTTAACATTATAATACCATTGTACAAAATGCTGGTAAGGCTGCACCTGGATTAATACGTACAGTTATGGTCACCTCACCTCAAAAAAGACATAGTGGAACTGGAAAAGGTGCAGAAGAGAGCGACTAAAATAATGACTGGGCAGGGGGACACCACCACCACCACCCCCGTATGAGGAAAGGCTACAGCGTTTTGGGCTCTTTAGCTTAGAGAAAAGGAGCCTGAGGGTGGACATGATTGAGATGTATAAAATTATGCAGAGGATGGATCAAGGGGATAGAGGGAAGATCTTTCCCCTCTCACACAATACCAGAACCAGGGGACATCCACTCCAATTGAGTGTTGGGAGAGTGAGAACAGACAAAACAAAATACTTCTTTACCCACCGTGTTGTCAGTCTGTTCTGTTCTGAAACCTTTAATTGCGTTTACAAATTACAACAACACAAGCAAAATAGGAGAAGTAAAATTACAAAAATTTTACAAATTAGGAGCGAGAAGCAGGGGACAATTTCAGCATTGCAAATAAGAAACCTGCAACAGCAGTGGTCAGGACATTACATCCATTACTCATGAAAATAAAAAGAATTGACTCAGAAGAATTGGAAAAATAGGAGATCCAAGGTTCTAGAAAAAAAATTCAGAGTTGAGAATGAGCAGGGCATTGAAACAGTATATAAACCAGGGTGTCAGGCATGTCTAAACAAAAAAAAAAAGTCTTTTTTCACAAGGGATATTGAGAAATCGACTGGCATGGGTGGCCGAAGGAAAAATATTAAAACAGGCTAACATAAAAGCTCTTCTTAGATGTGGGTTTACTAGAGAATGGAAATATTTGGGAGAATGATCCTGAGATGGAAAAAATCCAGCAGAAAGAGGGGAACATACAGGGTTAAGGTTATTGCATAGGTGATTGAATTCGGCGTGACAGAGCTTGTCCTTGATTATGGAATAAGTCTTAGTGAGATTCATATCTACCAAAGATTCCAGGGATATGTGAAGAGAGAACAGTTTCTTTTCTATAAGCTGGAACCAAGAAAAGGAGTAAGAATCACACAATAAATCATATATCAGGGATCCAGAATGTGAATTTAAAAAAAGACGGAGCCAAAATTTAAAAGTGAGTAACTAGGCAGTTGTGGAAGGTAGGTGAATGCCCAATTCTAAAGAAATAGTAGAAAGTCAAATTAAATTGGGAACTCCTAATATTCTGTGAAAAAACGTTGCTGCAACTTGGTCAATATCCAAATTAACCGAGTGTATCCATATAGGCACACCGTACAGCAAGTGAGAAAGAATGTTGTTAGTCTGTGGAACTCCTTGCCACAGGAGGTGGTGATGGCATCTGGCCTAGTTGCCTTTAAAAGGGGATTGGACAGATTCCTGGAGGAAAAGTCCATTGCAGGTTACAAGCCATGATGGGGATGTATAATCTCCAGGCTGAAAAGGAAGGTACCTCCAAATGCCAGATGCAGGGGAGCGGCATTGGGAGACAGCTATCTAGTTGTCTTGTGTGCTCCCAGAGGCATCTGGTGGGGCCACTGTGAGGTACAGGAAGCTGGACTAGATGGTCCATTGGCCTGATCTAGCAGGGCTCTTCTTATGCTCTTATGTTGAAAAGTGCTCTACATACACATTGAGGAAATGAGAGAAATCCTTCATGCAAGGGGGGTAATCAAAACATGGAGGAGCATTATGTCACTTTGCAGAAAGAGCCATTCCACATGTTATCGAAATGTGTGGATAATAGGACAGTGTTTCCACCATTGATGGCAAAGTTCAACAATGATTGGTCCACACAGCCAAGGGGCTTCCTTCTTTATTCTTTCAATATGTGTCAGGTTTGCAAGCCTCCCTCAACAATATGAGCCAATTATGTTTCTAGTTTCCTTGTTTCATCATCACACAGAAAACAGTTGTATCTGTCATGTATACTATATACTAGTGAAAAATTCAACATCATGAAAATGATTGTTTTTCCTAAGTTTCCATCTCAAACACTGGGGGAAATGACAGTTTAAACACAGAATGTGCTCTAAAGAAGAAATAAGTAATCTCAAGCAGAATATTGGTTAGTTTAGAAAAAGAGGAAACAACTAAATGTGGATTTCAGAAGTATTCATTTCATTCATTCATTCAATCATTCATTCCATATGCTGGCATGAGAGGAATCTGAAAAATAAGAGGAAAATGAAAAAAAAAATACTGGGGTAACCAAGAAAATAAAATACGTACTAAACAAGAGTGCTGTAACTTGAGAATGAAAGAATTTACGCACTTCTGCAAACAAAGGAAAATTACTAAAAGGCAAATAGAGACAGCTTTCATTTAAACAAAGAGAACAGTCAATGACAATCAAAAAGCAACAGTGAAACTAAAAGAGTGAAACCCTAAAACTCAAATATCAGACTTGGTATAATGACAAATATCAGACCTGAATTCCACACTATGCAGAAACTTTATGCATGGGAAGTTATCTTTATTTTTTTCCCAACATCTGAGATAGCACTAACACAGCTACCACCTCCAAAACTACACTTTTTGCTATAATTTCTTGTAAAATATTTTTCCTTGTTATCACATTACACAACTCATAGTTCACTCAAGAAGATTTGAAAAAGAACTGGATTATAATAAGCTAATTTAATTAGATTTAGCATGATAGAGAAAAAATGTTCTGTAACAGTTATCATTCACGGTCTTACCTTCAGATCCAGAAGAAAGAAATACTCTGTCCTCTCTCTGGTAGATTTCTCTGGTATCATTGTTTAGGTTAGAGGTTCTTACATGTTCTAGACAGAAGCGGTTCACTCTGTCCCTTCCATGCCTGCCGGAGCAATAGCCTTGCAGCGCTTAGCTGCCTCCCGAAGTGTGATCAAACAAGCAGACAGGACAAAACAAAAGGTTCTGGCCAGCCCAGCAACAAATGCTCCAACAACACGACACCTGTTTTCTCAGCTGAGGTGTGCCGAACAGACAATGGTTCTCAGTATTCTCACCGCAGCCGTCTCACTAGATGAGTGATTTGCTTTTTTAAAAGATCACACTGGATAGTATATTTGCCTAAAGCAAACACATACAAACTGAAATACTTTTTTTTACTAACTTGCCCACTGATGCACGGAATCCTACACACACATACAGAAAAACCCAGGGCTTGCCCAGCGAGTTGAGGGAGGAATTTAAAAATTGGTGGGAACTTGAGTTGAAGAAAGGAAAGCTGTGCCCTCAGTTCCTTCATCTCCCACTTGCTTTTCTCTGGCTCTTCCCTTCTCAAAATGTACACAAGGTGGTGCCAAGAGAGGAAGAATTCTGATCTGCTAACCTTCTATGACAGAACATGACGTAAATCTCCCCTCTTTGCAAACAGTAATAAGAGTCTGTTCCTTTCACAGAGGAATTTGCTATTTGTATGCATACGTGGGGCCCCACAACAAAATGTTGCAGCATATCCCTAGTCTCCTGACAAGAAAGTTCTTGTTCAGCACTTCAGACAACCCAGAATGGAGTGACCACTCTTTTAAACGTTGCTAGAAAGCAGGAAATTGTCATTTATCAAAAGAGGACAAAGGAGGATACTGGTCTGCATGTAACTCACATATCCTCATATAGAAGCAATCTGAAAAATAATAACCATAAATTAAACAGACACATAATACTGTATAGCTAAGTGCAATATAGCTACTGCTGTTACCAGGTGTCTTGCCTGCCTCCTCAGTTTGCTCTCCAGATGTTGTCGGGCAGTTTCAAGGGTCCTGTTATCCTTTTTTATGGTTCTTGGTCTTTAAACCAGGCTTGAACTAGACAAAACCTCATACAGATGATAGCTTTCTCTTTTCCGTTCTTTAAACAAAGGACTGTTCTCTAGAGTAGAACACATGGCCACCCACAGAGCAGGACGCTTATATTGCCGGCATATAGGACTCGCAAGAGAGGGTTCAGGGCAGTGGAGGTAAAGGACATATTTTCACTTCCCTTTTAAAATTCCCTCTTGATGTTAAAAGGACAGGAACCTTGAAAAACAAAAATGTAGGACATTCACTCACTCCTACCCTGAATCCTATTCCTTTGGGGACACTATAAGCTATTATTGCCCATGGCTCCTGGACAGCTAGCAAGCATGTTAAGAAATACCTTTCTGTACTCCAAAGACGCCCTTCAACTATAATCAACCTATTAATTCTTTCTACACACTGAAAAAAAAATCTATAAGGCTAGTTATTTCTAACAATCCCATGTTAATTCCTAGACCAAAGATACTAATGCTAGAGCTATAATGGGATATGTTTACAAATGAGTTGTCCAATTATGTGGGAAACTGAGACTTTCCCTAGACTGTTAACAGTTATTAAACACAGCTTTAACCAATGAAAATGTATGAGTTTTCAAAGGATTGTTACAGTACAGGTATAGATATCAGTTCGGTCTGTTGGTCTTCCAACTGATTGCAGTTCAAACGAGCTCTTCAACAACCTGCCTGTCTAGGTCTTGCATACAAAAAGACACAATTAATTTACATCAATTGCAAAAAAAGCTTGATAGTACTGAATCTGAAACCAAGGCCATGAAACAAATCACAAACATAAACTAGCTTTTGGCACCTTACAGGACTTCATCAATCCTGGGTACCACAGTGCTCTGGAGGATAATTTGACATTACAGAGTCATTTTTATCATAAAATCTTCCCCACTGAGAATGAATTGCATGTTCTTTTAATCAAACATATCGGTACAATCTTTTTTCCAACTAAGACAATTCTCTTCTGGTCTGCAAGTTTATTAGACCAATAATTTCAATATCACCATCCTGCTTTATATTCAAAGCACATTCAGTTCCTTGTCCCTTCACCACTGAAAGTAAGGCCCAGGAGTGAACACTAGATGTCATGCTAGAGTAATGAATGAATTCCATAGCACAGAAAATTCTTGTCAACATTTCTTCCTAATATCAGAGTTTACAAAAGTTATTCTTTTGGATTGCAGTCCCAGAATCCCCCAACCAAAATGATTGGCCATGCTGTCTGGAGGATTATAAGAAATGTAGTCCAAAAGAGTGATTTTCCCATGCTGTGCCCAATCCATAATGTTGTCATGTCGCATCTACAGTGGTGCCTTGACTTACAGCTCTGTTCGCAAAATTTTGCTTTGACTTGCGAACGGAGCTTTGACTTAGGAACAAAAAAAATGCGGGGATAGCAGGAAATTTGAACTTTCAGTTAACCATTGGCCAGCAAAGAGGCTGCTTGTCTGCTACCTTGCTCGCCCCAGCAGTTAGAGAGTGTGGCTATGGAGACAGACTGCCTACTGCCTAGTACTGCCTGGTAGTGTACCGTACGGTCTGTAATATTTTTTTTGGCTTTTAAATTTTTTATTTTTGGATTTTTGACTTTCTTTTTTAAAACAGAGAGGCTGCCTGTTCTGGGTGAGTACACAGTATTTACTGTACTTGCAGGGTTTTTGCAGCTTGGTTTCTTTGCAAAGGTTTCTTTGGCTGCTGGGGTCTAAAATGCATTTTACTCGTTTGCTCTTAAAATCAGGAATGTTTTTTGCAAAGGTTTCTTTGGCTGCTGGGGTCTAAAATGCAGTTTAATCTTTTGCTTTTTTAAAATATTTTATTTTTAACAAAGGGTAACAGGAAGGAAAAAGGGATTGAGGTTAAGGGGAAGAGGAGAAACAATGACATACTAACATCCATTCTATACATATTGCCATATCAAAATTACAAATTGCTCTTTTTACTATTTCCTGCCTTCCAGATTTAAGTTCTCATTTTAATGAATGTTCTTCACGCAATGTCTGATGACTCAAACCATTTGTAGAATAAGTCCCATCTTTCAGTTGCCTTTTGTAGAGGACAGTTCTTCATCACTTCTGATAAAATGTCCATTTCCACTGTTTCCCGTATCTTCTCTATAAGATCTTCTTGTTTCGGTACGTTCGGACTTTTCCAATTTTTGGCATAAAGAATTCTAGCTGCAGTGACTATGTATATAACTATATACTTCTTTGCTTTATCTATGTTATCAGGTATCATACTCAATAAAAACAGTTCTGGGGTTAATAGAACCTTACAAAGCAATATTTGTTGCAGCACAGCATGCACTCTTTTCCAATACTGTTTCGCTACCCTACATGACCACCACATATAATAGCTTCCCACTTGTGCTTCACATTTCAAACACACATTTGATACATCTGTATACATCTTCGACAATTTTTCTGGTGTCATATGCCACCTGTAAAACATCTTATATATATTCTCTTTAAAATTAACCGATCTTGTAAGCTCTATATTATTTTGTCATATTTTCAACCACTGATCAATATCAATATTATGCCCTATGTTTTGTGCCCACTTAATCATACATTCTTTAACCATTTCATCTTCCATTTTGATTTCTAACAGATAATTATACATTTTCTTAACTATTTTATCTTTTGAACCTAATAAAAGCTTATCAAATGTCATTTGTTCTGAATAAAAACCTTCTATTTTGTCTTTTCTATATCTAGATTCCAGGTATGCTCTGGACCACCAATCTATGTAAATATTTTGTGTCTCTAGCTCTTCTTTAGACCTTAATTCACAATCCTTTTTAAACAAATCTTGATATCTTAAAAGTTTTGCTTTCGTCATAAGATTAGGTTGTGTAAAGGCTTCTATAGGTGATACATATACTGGTGTTTTTTGATAAATTTGTTGTATAATCTTTTTCCAAGTCCCCAATAAAGCTTTTCTTATCATATATAAATTAAAATGCTTGTGCTCTTTATCCTTTTTATACCATGAATAAGCATGCCAGCCTAGCTGCAAATCATGTCCTTCCAAATTGAGTAATTCATTTTCCAAAGTTATCCATTCTTTTTTTAGCATTTTTAAAATAATTTTATTATTTTTTATAACATACATACCTAAAAAAATACCTACAAAACAATAACACATAAGATTAACAAAACATACAAGACTAACAGAACATACAGGCGGGGATGTATTTCCCATACCAGCTTATCTATTAGTTATCCATTCTTTTATCCAATCTAAAATACAAGATCGATAATACAGTACCCAATCTGGAAGGCCAAAACCTGCCCTCTGTTTGGCATCTTGCATTGCTTTAATTTTAATTCTTGGTTTTTTTACCTTGCCATACAAATATCATAATTATCTTATTAAGTTCTTGGGAAAAGGTCTGTTTTAATATGATAGGGATTGTCTGAAATAAGAATAGAATTTTTGGCAAGACACTCATTTTAATCGTCGCAATTCTTCCCAACAACGATAATTGTAGTTTATCCCATTTCTCAAATTGTTCTGTATCTCCTTAATCAATTTAATATAATTATATTTAAATAATGTACTCATCTTCTTTGTAATTTGGATCCCTAAATATCTGATTCTCTTTTCCTCTTAGAAGTTTGTCTTTTATACTAACTTCTGTCGTTCTTGTTCTCTTATATTTTTAATAAGTATTTTTGTTTTCTTTTGGTTTATTCTCATTCCTGCCATATCAGCAAAGTTTTTCAACGTCACCATCAGGTCTTCTATTGAATGCAATGGATCTTCCAGTATAATGACTACATCGTCTGCAAAAGCCTGAAGTTTGTAAATTTGACCTTTTACTTTCAATCCTTTCAATTCCTTTTTATCTCTGATTTG